TGTATAAGCCCCTGCAGTTTAAAAATGGCCATAGGACACTTTAATTAAAGCATCCCATGGCTATTTTTAAATGAGCAGGGGCTTAATACATGTGACACTGCAGCATTTTAATTAAAGCCGCTCTCTGGGAACTGCTCTAATTAAAACATCCCTCCCCTCACCCCCAAGCATGTGTATAGGCACCTGGTGACCCCACAGCATTAGAAGACATATAGTTAAACAGAAAGCCAAGCAAGATCACCAGCAATGCAGCTGAGAGGACTTGGCAGATAGAATCATAGAAAATTAGGGAACCTCAGGAGGTCATCTAGTCTAACGCTCTGCTCAAAGCAGGACCATCCCCAACTAGATCATCCCACCCGAGGCTTTGTGTAGCTGGGTCTTAAAAACCTCCAAGCATGGAGATTCCACCACCTCTCTGGGTAATCTGTTCCAGTGCTTTACTACCCTCCCAGTGAGAAAGTTTTTCCTAATATCTAACCTAAACTTCCCTTACTGCAACTTGAGACCACCCCTCCTTGTTCTGTCATTTTCCACTACTGAGAACAGTCTAGCTCCATCCTATTTGTAACCACCCTTCAGGTAGTTGAAGGCTGCTATTAAATCTCTCTCAGTCTTCTCTTCTCCAGATTAAATAAATCCAGTTCCCTTAGTCTCTTCTTAAGTCATGTGCCCTAGCCCCTTAACCATTTTTGTTGTTCAACTCTCTCCAGTTTATCTACATCCTTTCTGTGGGGGGGCATAAAACTGGACACGGTACAGTCATTACAGGATGGGGATGGATATGCATCTACAGTGACTTGCAGCAGATAAATTCATTCCACATTTCAGTAAACCCGCTTCCAAAGTGCATTTAATGTGTGTTAACATGCCAGCTGATTCATAACAAAAAATACTGTTTGTGAATACAAGTCACTTTAATGTGAAATAACTCAAGCGTAGACAAGCATTAGTTGCTAAAGCTCTGGGCTGCGTTAGAGCTAGTGACCTCAAGGTAAAAGGTTTATTAGGTCATTTGCAATCCCATGAGTCATTCAGGCCCCCAGCAGGCACTGCTTATTATTCAGTCTTCACCATTGTTGTGAGAGCTTCACAGTATTCAGTCCAGAGCGCATGGCTCCGAAGAAAAGATTAAATTTTATGCTGTGGTTGCAAAGTAGGAATAACATACAAAATGGGATTAAGTCTTAATATGATTTCACATCCAAGCTAGTCCTGGACCACCTAGCATGCCGATGAGAAAATTCTAAACCCCATTACCATGAAAAAGGGAAACTTCAAAGAAAAATAAACCACAGAACTATGCTATGAAATGTTTAATGAAACCCTTATAAGGGGTATGCTGTAAACTTAGTGATTCAGAGTGTAACAATATCTTTAGCCTCCTTCACTGGCCCTAAATTATTGGCAGGATCTTCAAACAGGGGATAACCTGACCTTATGCAGTCAGTGAAGCTAGGCCTGCTTTTCTCAGCAATGAACTCTGCCCCATCTGTGCTGAAGTGGCTTTCTTGCAAAAAAATGCAAGACACAGGGGACTTCTGCTCCTGGAAAGAATTTTCCAAATGATGAATGAGAGTTTCCCAACGGAAAACCCACACAGTCAAAACAAATCCGGATGTGAAGTGACTGGAATAGGCACTTTGGCACTGCTGAAGGGGTGGGAGGGACATTTCTCCACCAAATATCAGGCAGTGGGTAGCCTATTAAATTCACTGAGATTCTGGTGCTCAGTGCACAAAGAGGGCATGGTAGAAACTCGCTTTCTATTTTAAGCTGGATTTTGACATCCTTGTCTAACATCCTCAAGTTAACACATCACTTTGCCTGGAAAGAATCCAGAACCCAGTTCTCCATTCACACTGGTATACAGCTGGAGCAGCTCCAATTATGTCAATAGGACTAAGCAATGTAAAAGAGAATGATACCTTAGATTCCAACTCAAGGAGCATTCTGGGGGAGTCATCCTGAACTTAGGCAGGAATTTGCTGACACGTGAACTAAACGAGGTGTTTCACAGACTGAATTCCTCCCTAAAGCTTTTTTTTTTTTTTTTGCAAAGCCAGGGTTTTCACTCAGTGGGTCAACTGCCCATGCGTACACACACACACACACACACACACACACACACACACACACACACACGAATGTGTCTGTTGTAGGAAGGCCTATTCAGCTCTGAAGATGGGAAATCTCTCTCCTGAATGAATCTGACAGCCAGCAACCTGCCAAAAAAACAACCCCCCCACCCCCAAAAAACAAAACACACACACAAAAAAACAAGCCTTTTCAATTTTCCCCACTCCTTTTCTGCCAGTTATTTGTAACACTTCACAGTTTATTAAGCCTCAGTGCAAGGAAACCACTTAAGCACTACTTAAAGCTCATAAGGAGATTTGTTGACTTCAGTGGTGGAGTCAGATGCTTAAGCGCACACACACTGCACACAGGTTATATTGAACCAGGGCCTAAAATCCCAAGGCCTGATTCTGACTGCATTTTTTGCAAGTGTGATTTCTTTGCTTTCAGTTACGTTATTCATCAGCCAATGCAGTGTATGATCAGAAATAACACCCCTGTGCAGATAGATATATAGCGGGACAGCTCCCCACCCTGGGCAGCAGAAGTGGCACGGACAGTGCTGGCTACCACTGTCACTAGCAACGGCATGGACAGTCACCAGCTGTCCACTGGGCTGCTGCCCCAGTCACCATCCACCACCACTTCACTACCACTACTCTCATGTAATAATTGTGACTTAACATTCACTGCTTCTTCAAAATCTTCCAGCCATTATTTTTAAGATCAGAAATGACCTGATCTGCCTATTAGATTGGTGAAAATTAGAAGCAACTGCCTGGAATACAATGGGGTTAGAATAGTATAAATGAAAAGAGAATCTGCCACAAAAACCTTTAAAGTGGCTCACCTCTTTGTTCTTTTTAGAAGCAGTCAAATATCAGACAGCATATAAAGCTGAGAAAGAATGCAAAGAATGTAGCAGACCAAGAATTTACAGGCAACTTTTCTGCCTTAAAGAATAGAAAGAGAGCAAGTAAGTCTTTCTGATGGTAAGTGAAAGCTTTACCAAGCCCAGAAAGAGAAGATCCCTTGCATCCCGAAGAATAAAATGCAGAAAGTCCCCCAACTGAAGCAAACAAAGCACACAGTAAAGTGTCATAATCCAATCAAACTGGGCTTTTTGTGTTTCTCTTTTGAATAAGCATTTTCCCAGTAGCTCACAGCTTTATCTTTAGAATCATCAATCTATAACTCTCACCATCTTCCAACATGCAACCTATATATAACTTGAAGTAGTTACCAATCATCAAATAGAAAATTGTGCTTCTTCTTGAAAGGTGTAATTATCTAGGGTCTGGTTCTAAAGATGCTGCAAAAAAAGATATATTGCCCATTTGCAGTCAAAACCGCAGCTGTGCTGATACTTACAGAAATCAAACCTTAGATGTTTGTGGCACAGCAGTTTGCTCTTCACGGTGGTTTAATATTTATGCCGGTGGTTTATTATTTAAATGTATTTTCATTAGGTGAATTCAACTGAAAAGTTGCATCTGAGTGAGTTACAAATGCTGACAAACTGCACTAAAGGAGAATTAAGAGTTACACAGTTAAATTGTATTTTATCATGTAAATGGAAGAGGAACACTACATGCAGTTCTGTGCATTGTACTGGGTGATAAATGCTGTGAACTATAAATACAAGTTCAGTGAAGAGGCTTGTCAGTTAAAGCTGTGGAGTGAAAGCTGCTTTTCGGGCAGTTGTAAAGTTTTAAATATATATATACTTGGTTGACTGTATTACACATTCCAGATGACCATGCACATTCATGAGTTTGTAAAACTGTTGTCTTGTCCTATAAAAAATTATAACTTAATAAACTGTCAAAGAAAAATGTTTAGAAGTGGGGTTTAGCCTGAATACATGAATATTAACAGCCCTGAGGGACCTCCTCCCATTAATGTATGAATGCACAGCACTCACTCAAGTCAGGGGGAGTGTGGTGCTCAAAATAACTGCAAAAGCACCTACTTAACTGACAAGTGCTATATGCTCAAAGGATGCCAATCAACAAACTGTCCAGATGTGGAAGAGATTATGTGCTTATTTTATAGCAGCAGATACTCTGTATCCTCGATTTAAGGAGAAGGATTAATTTGCTTCACTCCCTACCCCTGCTTTGTCTTTGTTGTGTGTCATATGACTGTCTCTTATTGTACTGATACAAGTTTGTTTTTTTCTTTAAATATGAACAGTGGTGCCATTTTTTGTTTTCCTGTTCCAGATGCACTTAGTGCACTGACATTTTTAAACCATGTTTTGCTAGTAGAAAAGTATTCATCTTCAGTGATTTCTGGGCCCCCCCCTCCACTTTTGAATACAGGATGGACAAAGCAGACACATAAAGAAGGAGCAAGTACTGGATAAAGTAACACCTATTGAAAAGGACTGACACCACTGAGAATGCTTTTGTTACAACAGCACTTGAGCTAACATTAACAAGCCACAGACTATCTGAACACAGACAAGCTTGTCTGCAGCCAACTTGCACCAACATAACCAAGTCAGTTCCAATTAACAGACTATTTCATCCCAACTCAGGGTGGACAATCATTTCAAAATAAAAGCAGCTAAGGTCTATTTAGCTGAACTTTGTAACAGTTGATGGTCTGCGACTTCTATTTTGAAACCAACTATTCACAAACTAACTTGCCCTAAAAACGGTAGATTTTAAATAAAACTCACATCTTTTGTTATTTCAAAGCAAGTTCATGCCATCTCTATGCTTAGGGAAGGGAGACAGACTAAAAGGGGAAATTCAAAGTCCTAATTCTGCTTTTCTGTTTATGGTGTCATTCAGGACTAACACCACTCAAGTCAGTGAGTTACTGTTTGAAAATCAGGCCCCCATCATGCTGTGGAAAACTCTGAAGAGAAAAATATTCTTTAAACACAAGCCAAGTATTCAGAACAACGGGGTAAAACATTAAACACACTTTACTGAAATATCAGTTTCTTTAGTATGTTACAGAAGAGCTTATGACCATATATAATGTACAAAGAAGACAGACTTTGTAAAATAAAAAAAGGTCTTTTTATAAAAAATAAAAGAGTCAAAGTAAAGTGCATGAAACTGATTTTTTTTCCAGTTTGTCTCTTACGTCAAGTTCTTAGTACACTGATACTATTTTAAAACCTGGGAAGTTTTCTTTTGTCACCCATTAGTCAGTTATTTTAGCGTTCAGACCAAATGACAGAGATTACAAACAACAGACAATACTTATAAACTGAAATAGTTTACCAGATGCTTCCACTAACAGAGGTGAAGAACTACTGGAATATGGGCTTGCTTATGCATGGTCATCAAAAAGGTTAACAAATGGTTAGTAGGTCCAGTCTGGCTAGGAATATCCATAGGAAGAGAACTTCCACGGATAGGGCAGTTTTGCAAGTCAAGGGCTTCCCTACTGTGCAATAAGTTCTTGGTCTATGAATGTCAATTACTTTTTTAAATAGAATACATCAGCGTAACTGCCTGCCTCCATTGAAAGAAAAAGGTGGTATCCTGAAGCAGATAAAGACAATTGCTTTTTCAGTTTGTTTTTTTTCTTAAGAGAAGCAAACTGAGCAAAAGAGAAGTTTACTGAGCAAACTGTTAAGGGAAATACTTAAAGATGATTTTTTTCCCCTTCAAATTCTGGAAAGAGAGACCCAATGTGGAACTAATACAAAAAGATACAGTGACACTGATAACACTTTTCACCTTCAGAGGTCTTTACAAACATTTGCTAAATACTTCCCACAAAAGCCCTGGGAGGCAGGTAGTCAAGTATGAGCCATCCTCTCTGGATGCAACAAGCAGAAAGGGTCTGTTCCTGTAGGCCAGCAACAGTGTCCATGCAGAGAAGTGGCTCCTTATCTAGCAGAATTGGAGCCCGAAGGCCAATGTATTCCAAGCGAATTGAGGCACTAAAAGCCACAGAAGAGGGAGGGTCCAACCCTACTGATGAAGAGGCATTCTGCAAAGTCCGTTCAACTCCCTTTGAGCTCCAAAAGAGAGCAGAGGGGACCCTAGCATCTCCCAAGATTGGTCCCGAAAGCAACCACGTCAACTGGCTGAATTTGGAAAGGTTACCAGGCTCCAGCAGCTCTCCTCAGACGTCAATGGGAACCGAGGGTGCCCAACTCTCTGGACCTGGAGCCCCAGGATAAGAGCTTGGGCGCTCCTAGATCCCAGCCCCGTGCTCGACCAGACTAAGCCCATGCCTCTCCCCCACGAGGAAACGGGATCCCGAGTGAACATTTCCGTCTCGTGTTCAGAGACTCCCAGACCTTGTTGCTGCTTCAAACAAAGGCCAGAGGGAGGGAAGGGAGAAAGCCCGCTCTTCACCCTTGGGTTACATAAATACAGGGGTGGGGAGGGGAGGTTAGTGGTGGGGGGGTTGCGGAGAGGGGGGTCCAAGAGAGAAACCCATCACAGTGCCGCCGCAGCCTTGGCTTTGCAGTGCAAAATGTGCTTGTGGACAAAGTCTATCCTGCTCTGCAGCAGCCTGGCCTGCTGCTCCGAAAGGAAGCCCAGCTGGGCCGAGAGGGGCTCCCGAGTCCGGTAGAGGCGGAGCAGCTCGGCAGCGGCGTTCTGCAGGCGATGCAGCTCCGCCACCCGCCGGGCCGTGGCCTCCCTGAAGACGCACACGGAGCGCAGCAAGGGCTCGTTGTACTTGTCCCAGACAGCCAGGAGCCGGTAGCCGTGGCCCAGCCCGGCCTCGTGGTCGATGAAGACCAGGCCCCCATCGGGCGCCCGGTGCAGGTTGCTGGTGGCCCGCTGCATGACGCGGGCGTCCCACTGCAGGCTGAAGAGGTTGCTGACCAGGCGGTCGAAGTTGGCCGTCAGGTAGTCGAAGAGGATCAGGTCGCTCCACTGCACCAGCTCCACCAGCTGGGGCTGGCTCAGGCCGCCCAGCTCGCCGGCCGCCAAGGGCCGCAGCTCGGCGCGCACGCCGGGCGCGGGG